TGATAATATGGGTTAGTGCTGAACCACTGTTTTGTGTATGTGAAACCATCATATGATTGTGTATCAATGATACTTCAATAAAAAAATGCATCTTCCATGGATCCCTTCTCAGAAGACTTACTGAAGGTTGTACACCTTCAGTACAAAGCAGGAAGGACATCCCATTAGAAAAAACAAAGAATTCAAAATACTCTTGAAGAAGTTTGACCTCCCAAGACTTCTAGGGAGAAAAATTATAACCCATTATTGAGAGATACTAAAAAAAGACCTAGAGATAAAACATGCTTTAATAGGAAGACTCAATTATCATCATGATGTTAATTTTTTCAAAGTCAACTTACAAATTCAATGAAATCCCTCCAGAAAAAGTTTTTTGGTGAAACTCAAGTTTAATTTCTAAAATGTATATAGAAGCACTAAGAGCCAAGAATTTACTAGACACTGCTGAAGATCAAAGGAAAGTCATATTCTAGCAGAGATTTATTTTAATGCTTTCTTAATAAGACTGTGGGATACTGAAACAGGAATAGACAAACATCAATGAACAGAAGAGAGATTGCAGAAACAGACACATTTTAATATGATGGACAGGACACTATAAAACAATAGGAAAATAGTTTCCCCTCGGTGATGGGTTCTAGGAAAACTGGGTATTCATACAGGGAAAAAAATTAAATTGGACCCCTATCTCACACCATTTACAAAAACCTATTATAGGTGTATTGTAGACCCATTAAGGTAAAATTACAAAGTTCTTAGAAAATAAGGAGTTTAAGGAAATAATTAGGAAATAAGAAATTCTTTCCTAACCCAAGAACATGAAGATAATGTTCTTGGGTTAGGAAAGAATTTCTTAAAATACAATACAGAAAGTATTAACTAAAAAGGAAAAAATTGATAAATTGGGCCACATTAAAATATAAGAACTTCCTGTTCATAAAAAGACGTCATTAAGAAAATAAAAAGAGAAGCCACAGAATGAGAATATTTGTAATAACCATAACCAGCATATGGTTAAAATCCAGAATACACTGTAAACAAGAAAAAGACATCCAAAAGGAATGCCTGCGCCATGGGATACCAAGAAAGTGGTTTACTATCTTCACAGGTCCTTTTTCCAAACCTCTCTCATATTTTGCTTCTGAGCTTTAGATGTAGTAACAATGCTTTCTACCATTTCTACGTGTCTTAACATTTATTAGCTCCTTTAATTCTCACACACTGAGGAGCAGGTCTTACTGATGAAGAAATTGAGACATGGAATGTTTAAGGAACTTACCCAAGGTCACAGACCTGAACATAAAACAATTTACCAACAAAACTACAAAAATAATTACTTATTAGGTACCAGAGAAAAATGAATTAAAACCACAATGAAAAATATAACATCAGATTGTCAAAAATTAAAAGTTCTGACAACAATCATATTGTTAAAAATTCTGATAATACCAAAAGTTGCCAAAGATGCAGAGCAAGGAAATTCAAATACACTGCTGATAGGACTATAAATTAGTATAGTTTGGCATCATCTATTAAAATTAAAGATACACTCTCCTATAACCTAGCAATTCTAATTTTGAGTTAAGTCTTGGTGAAAGTCATGCATATATGCACCAGTATTGTGTATAAAAGCTAAAAACTGGAAACAATCGATATAGCCATTAATACACGGTAAATAATGGGTGACAGAATCACAAGTGGACCTCTATGCAACAATGAAAATGAACTAACTACAGCTCTAGACAATAAAGATGAACCTCACAAACATAATGCTTAATTTGCAACAGGAAAACTGAAAAAGAAAAAAGAAACCCTCAGTATGATTCCAGTTCAGGTGCAACAAAACTAAATTTATAATGTTTAGGGATACAGACCTAGCTGGCAAACCATAAGGAAAAGCAAAGAAATTGATAGCTTAAAGATAGGACCATGATTTTCTTTAGGGAGAGAGGGAAACTTTCAGAAAGAAGGCTGGAGGGATTCTGGGGTGTTGGCTGATGGCTGTTAATACAAAAATTCCTTGACTGATGGCTGTTAATACAAGTTCACTTTAACTATTATTTGCTAAATGTACATATATATCTTTATACTTTTCAATACAAAGATTATATATTTCACTATTTTTTAAAAGGCACACACCCATCAGTGCCATAAAAAGAATCACTTTCAGCCAGGACAGTTCAGCTTCTATTCAATACATAATTTTATGTCATTCTTTTTTTTTCTTGTTAAAAGCAACAGGAATCTAAACATAAAACATTTTGAGGAATATTACATATCTTAATTTATATGTCAAACAACACTACATTAAAAAGAGAAAATGAACTTAAAATAGGTAAGATTTTTCAGGCAGAAGTAACTGTTACACAGTTGTGTAGTACTGGATTGAATGTAATATAACTATATGATGGAAAATGTTTCATATAAACTAAATACACAAGACGATTGCCTATTTACAATTTAATCTTTGTAACAGTTACTAATTTCCATCAGCAAAGGATAATTAGAATCAACTTTAGAAAGTTTTCTACAGAGCACTACATACAATATTAAGATTTGATAGCTTTTTCCCCTACACAGAGTAAGTTTATAAATTTAAAATTTCTAGAGAATCTTGGAAGACTAACTTTCAGAAATAAGAGGCAAACAGATAAGTTTACATTTAAAATTTTCTTTTTAAAAAATCTGCGTCTATTTCTTTAAAGTACAGAATAGTGAAATGGAAAAGATTTAACGAATTCATGCTCTTCAAATATCACACTAAAATAGTCATCAGGCCCACAAAAATAATGCTTGACACAATTTTATAGTGTTCAATTACACAGAGTAAGTCTCTTACTTTTCAGAAAATTTTCAATTGATGTCTCACTAAAGGAAGATACATTACACTTTGCAGTCATTAAAGAATTAAATCATAGAGCTTGGCGTGTCCACACAATCTGCCTGCGCCATGGGATACCAAGAAAGTGGTTTACTATCTTCACAGGTCCTTTTTCCAATCCTCTCTCATATTTTGCTTCTGAGCTTTAGATGTAGTAACAATGCTTTCTACCATTTTTACGTATCTTAACATTTATTAGCTCCTTTAATTCTCACACACTGAGGAGCAGGTCTTACTGATGAAGAAATTGAGACATGGAATGTTTAAGGAACTTACCCAAGGTCACAGGCTGCTATTGAAGGAGCCAAAATATAATCCAATTCCAAAGCTCATGTCTTAATACTACACTGTTTCTATCTGATAAAACATTTATATCATGAAAACTGCTCATAAGCACCTACCATCTTTTAAATTCTAGATGCCTTGAAGATTTATTTTTGCATATCCTAGATAACTGCATACTCAACAGAACATTAATGGGTGAAGGAATCTAAAAAACATTTAAGGCAATCTATGATAATTTTTCAGCTAAGACAACGGAGGTCCAGAGAAGTTAAATGTTCTTTCCAAGACCACAAAGCTGGTTTGTAATAGCTAGCACTAAAACACAATTCTTGACTCCTGCGATGATCTCCCCACTGCAGAAAAACCTTTCCTACCATACATCTTCTGTAGCTCTTGCTGAAATCCTCCACACAAGCACTAAAATTTACTTTGCCAACTTTCACCGCATTCAAAAGCACTCACATGTAGGTAATAGACATTCTTTCAAATTAACAAATAGAGAGATGCACTATATATTAAGGCAATACATGAATCCAAATGTAAATAGTAATTTTGATCCCCAATCTTATCATAAAAACATAAACATATTAACGATAACATGTGACAAGTGCTACAGCAGCCATGTGAACAACTGTGTTTTGAAAGAACACAGAGAGGGGTGGCTATTTCAGCCTGAGTAAAGAATGAGGACTGGGGGCTGTGCGATGCATTTGAGGCAGGGCAAAGGCAGACATCCGATAGTACTTAAAAAGGAGGAAGAACGCTATCCTTTCTACCAATGGACATTAAAGTAAAAAACAATAGTAAATACGGGGTCAAAAGACGTGAGTCAAATCTAGCCTGACTCATGTGACTTTGAACAATTTCTGAGTCTCAGTGTCTCTTTTTTGAGATGTGGATACTCCGGTCCTGCTTACCTCACAGGACTTTCGTGGAGGCCAAATTATGTGAGCTTTAAAAATGGTAGAGTCCCGTATAAACATCAGTTATTTATGTTTTCACTTCTAGGCAACTCTGTGGGTCCTTCCCCCTAAACTGTGTCTCATAAAAACCTCACCCTTCAGGATGAAAATATTCCAATGACATCATTCATATACTTCTCATGAAATAACAAACAGTTAACATTAATGCCTTCAGGTTAAAACATCAAACTTCAATCTACTTAAGTAAGTATATAAACATGTGATTTTTAAATTTCTAAAGCGCTGGTATTCACTTCTACTCAATGCTTACTATAATTACATTTAGAAGCTAGTACTAGATGCATGTTTTCTTCTGGAAATATTCTATCAGAAATCCCATTCCATTTCATAGTATGCTGTCAAGCACCCACCTCAAGAATAGCCTACAAGTAATAATAACTTTGCTCTCATCCAGGAGACTGGTTATGCATTAGCTGTAGATAAAACCAATACATGCCCTGGACGCTAAAAAGGGAAGTGTTTTAGTACAAGCATACATATAAATGCAAACAGCTAGTTGACAAATATAAGTCCACTTCAAAGTATGAGTTTTTTATTTAAAATACTTTACAATCATCACCAGACTCCTCCAAAGAATGCCCTCATTTCCTTTAAAGTATGAAGTAGGCTGTATAACCTTGCCGACCCTTAGCAATCACTCTTTACAGTCAGGCCCCATTTTGTTCAACCTTAAACCCTACTGTCCAAGGTATTTCTTGGATGATAACCTAAATGAAGTTCCAATGTACGTTTACTAAGTCAAAACTAGCGGCCAGAGTCAGGAAGGGGACAACGGGAGGGAGAAATCCTCGTGCCGCTCGGGCCAATGGCCGTTTTCTTGCAAGTGCAACTTCCCGCCCTCTCCCTCTTACCTTGTACACTTTCCCAAAAGCTCCGTCGCCCAATTCTCCTATAATTTCCCAAAACTCCTCGGGGTTCAAGTCCCTCTTCACATGTTCATACTGCTTCTTCTTCTTCTCGCTCCCCAACTTGAAGATCTTACGGAAATTGAAGAAGGACATCTTTCCTCCCAACAGAGTTCCTCGCACTTAAGGACTGAAAACAACAATAAAAGGCAAAGTTTCTCCTCCCTCGTCTGCTGCGCGGGCCCGCAGGGCGGCAGCGAGCACGGGCTCTCCGGGCTCCCGCCGCTCCGGCCCGGCGTCCTCGGGGAAGGCGGGGCGCGACCTGGGCTCCGGGCCGCGGGGGTGGGGGGGGCAGCGCGGGCAGCCGCTCCGCCGAGCCCGGCCCTCGGGCTGAGCGGTGGGCGCCTCGCCCCAGGCCGGCCCTCAGGGGGCGGCACCTGCCTGACGCCCTTCCCCACCCGGCCCTGCCCGACGGGTCCGGCTGTCCTGACGGTCTGGACGCCCGCAGCAGCCGGGGCTTAGGCCCGTGGCACGACGAGCCTCCAGGGGCGGCGGCCACCACGGGCGAGGGACGCACCGGCGGCCTGTTGGGCGGGCAGTCGGCAGGCCGCGCTCCCCTGCCTCGGGCTGCGAGCCCCGGGTCGGCTCCGCAGCGTCCGCTCCCGCGGCGCGAGGCCCGCGCGTTCCCTGGGCTCTGGGGCGCCGCCGCTGCCTTGCTACCTCCCCAACCCACACGGCCTGGGCCCGAAGCGCGCACGGACGCCGAAGCCGCAGCGCGCCCACGCGCTCCCCCGGCGGCGCGCCCTGCTCACCGCGCGCTCGCGCGGGGGCGTCCCCTCTGGCCCCGCGCACGCGCATTGAGCTCAGCTAGCTGGCGGGTCCTGAGCGCCTGGCTGGCGCCTGGCGCTGGTGTTACGTGAACGCTAGCGTTGGTCGCTCCTCGACGATTGCAACCCGTGTGCCCTTCAAGTCCCAAATCCTTGCCCGCCCACGACTTTGGTGGAGTTACCCCCATGGGCAGATGTTGTCTCCATTCTGGATTTAGGAAAATTTGTAAGGAGTGAAAGTTGAGCTGTCCTGGTTGGAGCCCGAAAATGGCCTTTTTCGCTCTCAAACTGGTCCCGGAGTGCAGTGACAGAGGAGTATGTATGGTGGCTGGAAGCACTGGAGTCACAGCTTACCAGCTCCGTGACCTTCGGCGGGTAACCTCTCCAAGCTTCAAGTTTCTTCGTTGTGAAATGAAGATCCTAGCAGTCCCTGTCTTGGGGATTGTGGCCAGGAGTAAATGCATCAATGGATGTACGCCCTTTGTACGGTTCCTGCACCGACAAAGGCTTAATTTTAATTCTCTCAGCCGTTGTTACAGCCATGCAGGTAAGATAGACATAGATACGTAAAAATTGTGTAAGCCCACTTATAGAGTGATGGCCGAGACTCTTCCTTGGGGGTCATCTACCTCATCCCGGCCATTTTCACAGCCATAATCCTGGTGCCACCCTTCCTGAGTCCATCCAAACAACTTCCTAAGGCCTTCTCTTCTTGACCAGCCTCCAGCCCCCCTTGCACAGCACTAATGGAAGACTGCTTGGTGGGGCGAAGTGGACTTTGACTCGAATCTGTCAGATGGTGACCTGCCTTCCTCTCCTCCACCAGAAGGGAGATCTTTCAGGGCAGCGACTTGTTGCATATCATGGTATACAAGAACTTGACTACCAACGTTCCTGCCATATAAAAGGGAGGCAGATCCCCTGAAAGAATGAGTGAAGGTTATCTGGAACAGAGACCATGTTGTTGTCTACATGATGCCCATGTAAGTCCCCAACCATTTCCCTCCAGCACCAAAATGGCATAACAAACCCTCTGCCAGTAAGAGGGTTATGATGGTTTCATTTCTCAAGTTTTCTCTATATTTTAAAATAGCTTTATTGAGGTATAATTGATATACAATATATTGTACATATTTAAAATATACACTTTTATATTTTGACAAATGTATATACCTGTGAACAATACCATAATTAATCTACTTTAATAAGTATTTGTTTAAGTGGCACTAGATTGTAAAGATAATCCATTCTCATTGTGGATAATGAAGAAATGCACAATGAATAAAATTAGAGGTACTATATATAATTCTACCATCCAGAGATAACCAATGATAAGATTTTATTATATTTCCAAACAGGGTTTTTTGGCTGTGTTAATTTTTTTTTACATGGATAAAATTATACTGCATATAAAGGCTTGTATCCTGTACTTTTCATATTCTGCCATGATTACTAATTGTTTTCTCCCATCATGAGATATTTAGAGTGCTTACAACTTTTCTCTACTCCAGATAAAACATTGATAAGTATCTTTGTATCTTTGTTCACAAATCGTTTTCCACATATATAATTATTTCCTTAGGATAAATTACCAGAAGTAGATTTGGGTCAAAGGGTATAAATCTGTTTCCTTTTTTTGTTCTTTTCAAAATAGAAAAACCTTACTGTTTTCTCAAACTTAAAGTATAACCTTGTTGTAAATTAATTCAAATAATACATGAATGATAAACTAGGAAGCTGTCTGTAATTCTCTCCTGCTTACCCCCTACTCAACTTCACCACCAACCTAACCACTGCTAAAAGTTAAGCTTATGAGCATGAGAGAACTTTTAGCGGTACAAAAATGTTCTAAAATTGGATTGTGGTAATGATTGCACAACTGTATACATTTACTAAAAATCATTGGATTGTATATTTAAAATAGGTGAATTTTATAGTATGTGAATTATACCACAATAAAGCTACTTTAAAAAAGTTAGATATAAATATATACATATAGGTATATAATTATATTTTTTTATACATATACTTTTTTAATATGAAAATAGTATCCACTGTAGATGCTGGACATCTTTGCATGCTAGCACAGATAGGTCCATCCAATCCTTTTAAATAGGTGCATAGAGTCTCTAGGTATATAGCTCTGCCATAATTTATTTAAACATTTCTCTATTAGTAGACATTTAGGTGGTTTCCAAGTTTTTGTCATCATAAACAACACTGCGGTGAGCATGCATACACAAGCATCTTTGTGTATTTGTTGGATTATATTTCCTTAAGATACAGTTCAAGATGTGGGATTGCTGAGTCAGACTATATTCAAGAAGTTTTTACCTGTATTGCCAAATTGGCCTCTAGAAAGGTTGTACTAATTTATACTCCTACTAACAATGTATGAGTGCCAGTTGTACCACACCCTCAATAGCACTCAGTCATTATGCCATCCTTTTAATCTTTGCCAAGCTGATGGCCTAAAATAACCTCTCATTTACAATTCTCTAATTATTAGTAATGTAATACATTTTGATATGTATATTGGCCACTTTTATTTCTTATTTTATGAATTGCCTCATTGTATCAATGAATACTTCCAAGTAATAGTTATGCATTATTGTTAGTATTGTCTAAATGAGGTGATCAAGTCTAACATACTGTGGTGAAATCATAATGGAGTACAGAACCTTATACACTTTTTCCGTGAAGTTATAGCCATAGAAATTATTTAGTAATACCAGGTGAGATGTCATTTAGACAGATTCAGATTTTCCCAGTAATGCCCATGATGTCTAGATGCTTATGTTATTTGTAAATCATAGTTTGGCTTCCTTGAATTTTTAAACCTTTAAAAGTGAAGTTTAGTGGCCATGTATTCATTTTATATACAACTTTTGGCTCCACTCAGCTTAAAAATAGTTTAAGACATTCTCACCAACAGCTTGGTGGGGGAAGAACTAGCTTCACAGTTTACCAGGTAACTAAACTGCATGGATAAGGATATCATTAAAAATTGAAAATTGAGTATATATTGAGTGCTTATGACATACCAGGCACTGTGCTAAGTGGTTCACACACATCATCTCATTTAAACCTCATACGAGCCCCATGAGGTAGGTACCATGATAACCCCTGTGTAAAAGCAAGGGAAACTAAGACAGAGTTAAATAGCACAGTCATGGCCTCAGATAATAATGGCAGATTTAAACTTGAATCTGAATCTTGGTAAGCCAACTCCCTACCATTTAACAGTTCCACTACCACTGTCTCCGTAACCTTACTGATCTTCTGTAATAGGATTGTTGACACTGCTATTTCTTTCTCCTTCCCTTGTTAACTTAAAAACAGTACTATTGCCACTGTTAGCTCCCCAGTATGTACATGTATGAGTATGTGTATGTGGGTATATGTGCGTATGTATGTTTATATATGAAGATGTATGTGAGTATGTGTATATGTGTGAGTGTGTGGAAGAGTGTGAAAGTGTATAATGTGTGTTTGTGGATGAGCGTGTGTGTATGTGTGTGAATATATATGTGTTCTCTATATATATATATATATATATATATAGGTATGTATGTGGGTATATTTGTGTGTGAGCATGTGTAAATCTATGTGTGTGTTTCTTCCTCTAGACTGAGAGCACTTTGAGAGGATGGACTGTGTCATGCTCATCCTTACATCCTGCATCTAATCCAATGTCTTCCTATTCTATAAATTTTTGTTTAATGGTGAATGGAATGAAAGAAGTCTATACCTAGTAAAAGCAAATTACATGTCAATTCCTTTCCCCTTCCTTATTTCTAATTCAGGCAGTAAATTTACTAGTAAATTCTTAAAATGCTACTGCATAGGTCGGTTACATGGAACCAGCAAATTCCTCTGGTGTTCAAGTACTCTCTGATGTAAATACAATTTCCTGTCCTTATAGAGTTATACTTTTAGAAAGGAATTTTTCAGGTATTTTAGGAAAGTAACCTGCAATGACAATTGACCATTACGAAAATTTTGCTTCTGAAATAGGATTGTGTGCCATTCAGAAAGTTCCAAATCAGATTTTGGTCATTTTTTTCCTATTTAAAAAGTAAACAAATTACCTTATTTAAGCTACTTTTGTTTTAAGGAGGGAATCTAAAAATCCTCCCTCCTACTTCATCTCTCTTTCTGAGTCATGCAGACTTGTTACACTGACTCCCACTCTCTCCTCATCCTAATACTTCTGCTGTAATGAATCATAGCATTTGTCAGTGTAATGACAAGCCTTAATGCATTCAAATCTTAAGAAATTAAAAATTAAAAAGCATACAGACACACTTCTTTTACAAGTGGTGTTCAAGTTCCAGTTTAAAAATCTAGACACCATAAGATCTTTTGAAGTTTAAGGGCTTGAATAGACAATATTTCTTTCATTCAGATGTTAACTAGCTGTGGCATTCAAGCAACCAGCCCTTTGGGATTGATGAAAGCCTCTGCGCTCTTCTTCTGCTCCATGCTTTTATGTATTTACATTTCTTCTATCTTTGTTTCTTATGACATACGTTGGATGTGATGGTTCTGCATACTGGCTCAAAATTTTTTGTCCTGTCATTAACTAGCTCTGTAGGCAAGTCACTACTCTACACTTTGAGGTTTACATGAGTCTCACGTTTAACAGAGGTGCCTTCAGGGAGGTAAGATTTCTGTAGGAGTTTGTTTCTTCAAAATGATCATAGGATCTCTAAGCCCTTGCAAATGTAAAATTCTGTTTTCACTGTACCCCTAACTTAGCTGCCTTATATACAAAAAAAATTGTGTCCATTTTTCTGGTACAATTGTGGTAAATAAATGCAGTTATGAATTTCAAAAAGAAGGGCATGCCTGTCAAAAGTCATGGAGGATCCTGTTTCCCCTGAAAAC